CGGCCACATCACGTTGAAACTAACGGTTTCCTTACGATCACTAAAGTTAACAATATCTAGCTTGTTTTGTACCAAGATGGGTGACCCTTCTGAAATACCAAGCATTATAAGGGCTCGGAATTGTTAGTAGGAGAACCAAGTTCCAATTCGTATTATTTTTGTAATATTTTCTTACGCAAGAATATCCTTTAGAATGATATGAATCCAGGCAATTTTCTTGCTGTGTATTTTATCAGTCTGTTATCATCTGCGCATCTTATATTCAGCCTATCATCATAATGAATACTTATAGGATTTCTAGTATCTCTTCGACTGCCTCATTCTATAGGTTAAATAAATCAGCTGAGAAAACTTGTTTTGTTTTTTCTAGTCTTGTGTATTTGCCGTGATCATTTGCTATCAGTTGATTTAATTGTTCAAATCTTGCTTCTCTGGGAGACTTTCATCATAGAGGAGAAGCTATAAAACAAAAAGAATCGGCTTCTTTAGATAAAGAGAGTATTTTGGATAATTACTGATTATTTATTTTGCACGATTCAACATATCTTTTATTCGATGTGTTTGAAAAATATCAGTGTTCAATTTCCCGTCATTTTTTTTTTCTAAAAAACGAAATATTTCTTTTAGTTTATATAGCTAAGTGAATGTAATGCAATAACACGGTGCGTGTATGACTGAAGCAAAGCTCAATTATGTCTTATGTTCTTTGAGTAAACTAACCAGGATTGAGGAAAATGGATTTATTAATATTTCAGTCAAATCTTTCCAAAATTATTTTCAATTCTCGTACTCAGATTAGAATTGGTATGACGTCCCTGACAATAACCTGAAACATTTTTTTAAAAAAGTAATAAAACCACTAAGACGTAGTGTGTAGCTGGATGTTATATAATATTAGAAAATTATGTTATTAACACCTTTCCCCGCGTAGACGTGTATATACGTTTTTACGGAAAGTGATTATGATACGAACGAATAAACACGTCCTAAACATAATGTTTAAAAATCAACTACAGACATGTTTATACATCGATCTTGATTATTTTTATTTCATTCTGAGCTTCAAACAAGTTCAATTGTCAAATCACATATGTGGTAGAGGTGTTAAACCACAGCTCGGGTACTTCAAGATTTGTCTGGTGATACAAATGATCAGGGCAAATACCCAAGTCTTTTTAGGTCTTATATTAAAAACAAATAAAAAATAGGTCTCTAAATGAAATGTTATTCCCCCAAATAATTGGCAGGTAAGGGATTAAGGAGAAAGGAATATAGACGAAAAAGAATTAAGAAGACAAACATAACGAATGTTTTTGGATTTAAATATCTGATGGTCAAAGTAGACTAGGAAGAGAGTTCTACAAGCGATAAGTGCGAGAGAAGAAACTGTTAGCATAGAACTTACGGTTGTATGAAGCCATTTCAACTATAAAATGATGAAAATTCATAAAGTCTTGATATCATAGAAGTAAGTTCATTTGAACAATTACGACGAAAGTATTTATAGAATAGGCAAAAAGAAGCTACGTTACGGTGGTGGGAAAGTGACTAAGGCCGAGATGTCAGGTTGGGACCAATAATATTCCAGATTCTTCCTTGTATTTTATCAAGAATCTGTATCTAAAACTACCTCAGGCTTAGATTACTTTAAGACGAGTGAGACTAGATTCATATTTAAAACAGTTATGGCTTAGCCCAGAGGTAAGACTGGGTTCACTCGAGACGAAAACAACTCAAAATTCCAAAATCCAGCCACCTGAATAATCCCAAAGGTGGTTAGAGATAACGTGCAGAAATTATGGTGATTTTTCTTGTATAGCTTCGATGTGTCACAAGGCGGAAAATATAAGGCACCCAGTGAGGATCGAATTTACTACTCGGTCGCAGTTATTTCAGCGAATCACATTCCACCACTTCGATGTGCCTAATGCTGGTTTATTATGTATAGAATATTACAGTTGTGGCAGAAGGCTTAAAGGTGGAGAATGAGTCGAAGCTGGTCGATACTAACTATATTTTACCTAGTTAATCAGATTCATGACCTATTCATTCATTACAATTTGCACATCCACCAAAAAAAAAAAAAATAATGGGTCGTCATTCAATCCTGCATCTACAACAATACCGCACACACACTGGAACCTATTAAACATCCCATGAGATAGAAATTCTTCAGTATACAATTATTATATATATATATATATATATATATATATATATATATATATATATATATATATATATATGTGTGTGTGTGTGTGTGTGTGTCTGACGATCGCTAAAGCTTGTCATCTATCGAACCAAATATATATATATATATATATATATATATATATATATATATATATATATATATATATATATATTAGTGGTAATAATGTAGTGGGGGGTGAACAAAGACAACAAACTAAAATATGACAAAACATACAAACACAAGATAACTGATGTTTGTAGGACGCGCCAACCCTCAAAGAAATAAGAAATGCCGCTGTATTCTGCTTTCAGACAAAATCCAGAGGCTTTCTCATTAACGGAGGTGGAAAGATAAAATAAATACGGTCCTGGTAAAAACTGACTCAGTCGAGATGATAAAAAGGCCGAAAAACGAATTGGGGAGGCTGAGAATCGCGTCTTCTGCAGATATTATGTCACTAAAAAAAAAAAAATAGTTAGATTTCGTCAATTATAGATTAATTAAATTAGAGAATGATTATTCATAATTTCGATGACACCAAGGAGTAGTGAAGGAAGGACGCATGAAATGGAATGGTCTTCTCAACCGACTGACATTTAACCAATTGAACATTTGTGGCACGAATTGAAAAATGACTGTTTGTAAAGTGAGGACACTAAATATGGACAATTTAGAACGAGATTTCAATGAAGTAGAGACGAGAAGTCCAGTAGAGCCGTACGAGATCTTCATCTAGAGAAAAACTTATTTTTTTTACATTGATAATCGCTACGTAGTAAATGAGAGAGATTGAGTACATATGCAAAAAGTCTCGATAAGGATAGAAATAATATATAAAATATTGCTCATAATGCCAATAAAATCATTCATAATATAATTTCCTTCTTATTTATTAACAATATTACGTTCTTCGAGTAGCCAAATATAAAATTGAATTCGTAATGTTTAATCATGCGGAGGCTTGCGAACATTGTGTGTATGTGTGTGTGTATACGTACGTGACTTTGTGTGTGTGTAAAAGGGACATGTGTATTTATATTTATTATCTCGGAAAAACATCAGTTCATTGGTAAAACTTAATGAAGAGTGAACTCAACAATTACGAAAACGTTCCTCTATGAAACGCTGCAGTCGATTTGCTATATATATATATATATATATATATATATATATATATATATATATATATATGTAGGTATAGGAGGTGCGATGGGTATATTGTCGTCTAAATTATACAAAAATGAAAATGACACTGACATCTTATTTTAACAGATATATTTACCAAAATTGCCCCAAAATATCTTGAAATACTAAAAAGTGATTTTGTTCAATAAAATCACAATTGGCTTCTACCATGACCCTCAGACGACTTCGGAGTGTGCTACAACTCTTTGTGCAATTGTCTGAACCACTTGTCACCAATTATCTGTGAATTGTCTCATTTTTGTTGATTTTGCATTAAATTACATAAAATAATTTATCCACCTTTTATCAGTGTTAGGTTTTGGGCATTTTTTTGAACCATACAATTATCTGTGTGTTTTTCTTTCTGTGTACGCATAAAATAATTTATGGGTATGTGTACGCCTGAGAGTCCGTGTATGTAGCAGGAAGCTGTTATTTCTGTTATGAAATTAATTGAACAAAGTAACTAATTAAATCAAAAACAGAATGTACCTAGCAAGTGGAGTGTAGAGAAACGTTACTTTTATCTTTTTAACTGAAAAATAACGTCAGTATTTGTCACGTGTGGAGAAGATTGTCATTATATCTGTGTTAGCAATTTCATTTTTGTATTTTGCTTTGATAAAGTCCACATTGGACGAAACACGTCAGCAATTACCAGTTATCCTATTGTCATTTTTATTCATAAATATTGTCTTCTCTACCGATTAAATCGGAGAAATTTTCATACATACATACATACATACATACATACACATATATACATATATATATATATATATATGTGTGTGTGTGTGTGTGTGTATAGAGTGAGTAGTGTGGGTTTGTGTGTGTGCGTGCACACACGTGAAAAAGTATTTCTGAACTGATGAATAATATCTATTTGATAAAGTTTTTTTTTTGTGCTTCGTTTTCCTTTATTTACTTTTGCATATAGTGCAAGACTGTGTTTTTCCGGTCGTATTAAATACGCGTTGATTACGGACACATCGATTTGAAACCCCCGGTTCCCGTACCACTAACGAAGTTTTGCATTATCGAGCCTTGTCAGTGCCGGCAAATTCATACTTGTTTGCATAAATTGTGTCAATGTACTGCATTAGCATATATAATTGACAGTATCGTATTTATGTCCATACTATCAGGGTTTACGACATTACCGTAGTTAAGCAACACTAAGGCTGCTCGGTCCATAGGTCGATGACCGCTTGGGAATATCAGAGACTATAAACTTCGATGTATGGGTGGGGTAAGAGATAACAACTCAGAATTAGAAATTGGAGAACCGAGTTCTAATTCTAGTCAAGTCTTTTGTATATCACTTACAGGCAAATGCCATTGAGAAATGTATGAATTCAACTCTTATTCTCCCGGCTATGGGTTAATTAGTAAGAAGGATATCACTAAACCATTATCGCCCCAAAACAATCTAAAAATATTTTCTAGCTCTAAATAACTTACAAAAAGGTTAATAAACCGTAGAAAATGTAAAGAAAGTAAGTAAAACCAAAACGTGTTTAGTGTCTTAAATTAATGCAACTGACGGTCTCTTTTATCGAAGCATAGACAGATTATATAGCGTAATCAATATTATCATAAAAGTGACGTAATTTAGTCTTCACTAGATAGATAGGTAGATAGATAGATCAGACACAACTGATGTATAGCAAGAGTTTTATTAGAAGACAGAAAATGCGACACGGATTATCTCAACCCATAGAGAAATAGGGGAAGATCCCCAACAAAATTTAAGCAAAGATTTAACAATAAAACATGTGAATTTTGTTACATACAAAGAAAGGAGTATTGAATTGTTATGTAATATCGGCCACTTATATTCAAGTGTGTGCTGGAGAAGAAATCTGCGACCACAGATATCTGGTTCGACTGAAGGATACTAAGAATACCGTGTTCTGAACATGGGACCGGGGACGAAGTAAACAGAAACGAAAAGGAGACTTATAATTAGAATCAAACAGCGACGGTAGACATTTATTCGACACATAATGTGAAAAGAGGGCTTGAAAAAATTAACACTCACATGACATATTAAAGGCAAGAGGGAGAGAGGAAAACATGAGAAGAACGTTACCTAAAGAACTTGTGTTGGTAGAAACGCTATTAAAAGAGATATAAAAAAAAGACGTTAAGTGCTACAAAAGGCAGTAAAATGTGAAGAACCACATTCTTCCATATCCTGAAAGGAACCGGGACATGGAAGTTGAAGAACGACCTTGTGTATATGGTTGACACATCAAAGATTGGGAGGGATATCAAAAAGACAATATTTACTAAGAGCTACATAGGCAGGAAATTGATCATCCTCATTATTTAGGGACACACTAGTAGAAATGAATAAAACGGAAACACATAGGGATCTTTATAAATTTAACATTATGATAGAAAATATGGTTTTAGGGCGTGTTATATTTATGGGTATAAGGGCTCAGCATCAGTGACAGTTATAAAAGTGGACAGTGAAGTCTATACTGAGAGGCGACAGTCTATTTCATACTGAATGACAATCATCAGATTATCTTAAAATTAACATTATTATTATTATTTTTTTATTATTATTCATGGTATTATTATTATTAATAATAATTTCTTGAATATAAAGTTTTCCATCGTCATAGTAAAAAATAGTCTCAAACAGAAACAGGTTATTGTAAAATCATTGAGTCATAGAAAACCAATGTTTGAAATTCTAAGGAAATTGAATCGAGATGACGGGACAAGCAGGAAAGGAATTGAAAACGTTGGTTGGCTAAGAACATGAAGAAAAACACTGGTTTTGAGAATATCCAAAAAGATTTTCGAGATTAATTAAGAGAGCAATATGCAAGAAAAATAGATTGACCATCAAGACGATACGATTCGCGAAAAACGCTTGTTGAACAAGTTGAAATATCAAGAGAGTTAAATGATTTGTTTTTTTTTCTCTGATGTAAAAACAACTTTAATCAGGACTGAAACGTCAAAAGAATGATTAACAAATAGTCGTGAATAGACCGTAAGAACGTTCCAACATGCGCATAGTTTCCGGAACCTTTGATCATTCAAGGAATCGTGAAGAATGTCATGTCTACCCAGTTCTTTCTTCAGAACTTAAGGATAAATGTATAAGATGACCAATATGCATATCCTATCAGCCAGTCTGATGAGAGTTGGCTGGCTGTCCTTGTTTCGCAGCTTATCAAATTCTCTGGGCTCATTGTATGACTGAATCTAAATATTTAGTACGCGATTTTATTCTATTTTGGGAGTTAATAAGGGTTTAGATATCAAGTCTTACTAACTCATAGCTGCAGGGAAAACAGGTGGATTCATATCTTGTCCAATGACATTTGCGATAAGTGAATATAACAAACCCAAATCAATTTAGAACTCAGCTCTCCAGTCAACAATTCCGAGCTATTATTTATGAGACCACCGGTAAACCCAAGTTTAAAGCATCTGCTGTTATCAAGCGGTCACTCTTCTAGGCATTGATTCGACATTTTTTTTAACTTTGTATTGGAACAGATGTTTCAATATTTATATACCCGCTGACAAATGTATACCAGTCACATTCACCAGCGGCATATGTATGCAATATGATGACAGGGTTTCATTAAAGCAGCGTATAACCTTACAGGTGAGGAATAGTTAGAAATATACAGGTGTGTCTGGTAATACACTTCGCTCCAGTAATTTCCAATTTAGGCGTTAACACGTCTAAATATTTGACTACCTTGTTACCCTGTAAGCTATATGATTACGTCCCAACATTCATGCACATAGTTTCCGAAATCTTTTATAATTCTGGGAATCGTCAGCAATGTCATGCCTACCCAGTTCTTTCTTCAGAACTTAAAGATAAATGTATAAGATGACCAATATTCACATCTTGTCGACCATTCGGATTTGGATGATTCTTTTTATCTCGCTGTATATCAATCTCTGTGGGCCATTTAATGACGAAATCAAAATATTTCGTAGGCAAATTTTATTTGATTTTTGAAGATGATAATGATTTTCTGATATAAGTCTTTCTTTCTATGTAACCCAAAACTGGTCGGAGAGCAGGTTGATTCAAAACAATGCCAAGGGTATTTGCGCGTAAGTGAATATAATGAACTGGACTGGAATAGGAAATCAAGCCTCTGATCAGCAATTAGGAACCATTATCCATTATACCACCAGGAGATCCAAGCTTACGGCACCCGGTATTTCCAAGCAGTCACCCATCTAAGTATTGACCAGGTTCAAAATTGCTTAACTTTGGTGATCGAACGAGAAACGGAATTTCAACGTGATATTGCCGTAAGTCGAAACACTTGAGAACATTCGTTAAATACTAAAGAAATTAAACTACAACCAAGAGATAAAAATCATAAAATGCAACATGCAAGTGAGGGAAGGAAATACATTAAAATTGATTTTAGGTTTATCAGTGGTCTCATACGAAGGTATTGCGATTTTTAAGATCATATCATCTTTTGTCATCATTGATTGTATATAAATTACGTCTTTATTTTATCTTAGTATGTATGTGTATATTAATTGTTTCACTGTGGGCGCCATCTTTTTATCTTATGGCGACCGTATATTTGTTTAGCTTCCGAAAGGTTAGAGTAATATTATGGTGTATTTAAAATTTGCTACATTAGTGGATGTTAACCATATAAAAACTATGTTGATGAGCGTATAGGACAAGGTTATATCATCATCATCATCATCATCATCATCATCATCATCATCCCCTGGATTTTGTAATCGTAGCGGAGAGGGCGGAATCCAAATGCTGAAGCCATATCTTCTTCACAACGGTCTGTCAACAGCAGCCATCAGAATTTCTGGTATAGTCATAATTGTTCATTGTTTGACATTGTCCAACCAGATTTTTGCGTTGGCGTTGGCGTCCTCTCCTACATCGACCTTCAACGATGCCCCGCCTGATGATCTTACACAGACTGTCGTGCCTTGAAACGTGTCCAAAGCACGCCATTTTTTTTCCGTTTGCCAGTGGCGGGAAGAGATTGTGATGACGCAGAAAACCTTTCAACCCCTTTCCTAACGAACACATTGGTTTTATTTTCCCAAAAGAAGGTGCCAAGTAGTTTTCTCATGCATCTGATCCCAAAAGTTTGGATTCTTCTCTCTTTTTCTGCAAAAAGTATTAACGTTTCACATCCATATAGAGAATGAAGACTATCAACGATTTGTACAGTCTGTATTTCGTTTGAAAGCTGATGATGCTCCTGTATATTCTAGCTATATATAATACTAGCAGCCTGGCCCGATGTTGCCCGCGCTTGATTCAAAAATCGTACGACTCATACAGCAATCGCCATCACTTGACTTGCCCTTTCTTGTCTTTAAAGGGGTGCCCTTTGCCGTGCTGATGTTGCTACATGCCTTAATTCTTGCCTATCTCACACTGCGAATTTTTTCTAAGCTCTATACTAAATATTAAATCTGTTACGAAAAAAGAACTGAACAAATTGAACACAAAACGATCAGCTTTAAAAAAGGACTCGTAACTGGAAAAACCGAATGAAAAAAGATTGTTAACAACAACTATATTTTCACATTAACACAGTTCTGGGGAATCAGAATCAACGTTGAGTTTAAGCAAGCGAATGAGCCAATTGGACTAAAGTTCCATGCAGATTTAAATTTTTCCCACTTGTGACGAATGCAGCTATCGATTTTTTTGCATGCTAGCATGCTAGTTAACATTCGTGTCAGTCAGCTGTTGGCTCTCACGCTGTTCAATAGAATCTTCCTGCCTAATTGTGGCAGCCAGCTATAGGCTCTCATTCTGGCCAGTAGAAAATGGCCGCAAACTACATGTAAACTGAAGTAGAAGCATGAAAAAATCGATTATTTTTACTATCGATGGGAGTTGGGAAATGCAAAGTCGGTCCTGGCCTTTTCTGGTAACTTGGAGTATGTGCATGTAAATTTTGGTGCAAATCCGTCGAAAATTGCGGCCGTGTATTCGTTACACACACACACACACACACACACACACACACACACATCCACACCTTTTTTTATAGATAGAGATTAGCAGTAATATTAAACGTATCCTTATAAGGCAATATTCAGCATTCACTGACTTAACAGCCAGCGCTACTTTCCGCTGAAATTTTCAGAATGTTTCTCATCAAAGTTTGATTTTTTCAGAAAAATATATTTGTCAAGTCCCAGAGCATTTATTGGTATTTCTATTACTGATGGAAGTTTCATTCCCACTTTACTTTGAATTAATGTGGATCATTTAAATCTTGATTATAGAAATAATTATTCTTAGTGTTACAGGTTATATCGATTTTATTTGCTGATGTTGTTGACTGTTCCCAAGTATTTAATATTTACAATACGCAGATTTTCCGAAGTTCATTTCCGAAGAAAATAAAGCATATATTTTGCAGGATTTCATCTTTATTAAGTAGAAAGGTTGTGGCAATTGGTGAGTTTTGTAAAATTTTGAAATTGTGTACAACGCTATTCAAAGAACAAAAAAACCTTCGGAAGTATGTGAAGAAAATACGTGGAGCCTTTAAAGAGATATCTATAGTCGTATATATATATATATATATATATATATATATATATATATATATATATATATATATATATATATATGAATGTCCGAGAAATTTTAAAGAAAATATGTGTCCTCCGACAGGAATCGAACCTGTATTCTACACGGAGTCGTCATATAACTTGACGTACAATACCAGTTTAGCTACAAATGTCGATTTTACTGCTTTTACACTACAATTTTCCATGATTTCTCTCGCCCGATCTCATCTCCTCTGTAGCTCAGCTGGTATAGGACGTCAAGTTATACGACGGTTCTATGTAGGATAGAGGTTCGTTAAAAATTTTCTCGGGTGTTCAGGCCGGTAAATGCTGTTGATAATGTTTATTATAAACAGAGTATTTACTTAAATATTTGTTTCTATATAAATAATGTATAACAATATATATATATATATATATATATATATATATATATATATATATATATATATATTTTTAAATTATTTTTTAAAATATGATTCCTTCGCTACATAAGAGTTCTCATGTTTCAAAAACAAGAACCAAAAACCTCAGTTTAATTATTGAAATGAACACACACACACACACACACACACACACACACACACACCGGGTTTAACAGCAAAATTGCCCGAATTGTGTAACACCATGCGATAATTGTCCATCCCGCAAAATTTATAGTATCTAAGAAATCACTAAACTAATTGTTGTTTACAGGTTTTCAGATAAGATTTTTAACCATCTTAACACAATATGTCATAAGAATCACTAAAAAAAACCTTTAAGTTATTCAGCTAGAAAGGGAAAAAGGTTAAAATCGATTTGTGTCACCCTCACTATGTCTTCCCAACTGAGCAATGGTGAGAGGAAAAATATCATTCATGCCTTCAATAATGGTAGCATCTTCAAAGTTGATTCAAGAACCATCAAGAGAACGGTGAATACCTTTAAAAAAAGGTAACTGTAAAGAGGAAAACTGGATCAGGAGGTCACAACAGGAAGAGGAATCATCATTTCAGCTTAGAGATAAATGTATTCTTACTGTTCAGTAGTGTTATAAAAAACTTCGGAGAATTCCAGTGAGATATCTTTAATTATTTCTACGTGTTGAAACTTGACTAATGCATGGAATAATAATGCAACACAAAATGTACTTAGAACAAAATGTATTGAAACAAGAAAGTGTACACAATATTTACATATAGTCTTTTGTATATTCTTGATAAGACCGTTCCTGGAGAATGTGTTGACTGAGTCGCAGTCGGGCAGAGTCTCTGGTTCAATCTCTTGATTCCTCCCTCTCTTCCCGGTACCAACCATATTTATATGCTCGGTACTCCACTATGCAAATTAGGTGGATCCTGCCACAACACTAAGATACACGAGTACAAACTTCATCTAACAATTGTAAAATTTTGTGTTTACACGATTTGAACACTTTTACTGTTACACCCGGTATATATATATATATATATATATAGAGAGAGAGAGAGAGAGAGAGAGAGAAACAGAGAGACATAGAGAGAGAGAGAGAAACAGAGAGACATAGAGAGAAAGAGAGAGAGAGAGAGAAACAGAGAGACATAGAGAGAAAGAGAGAGGGAGAGAGAGATAGAGAGAGAAACAGAGAGAAACAGAGAGACATAGAGAGAGAAAGAGACAGAGAGAAGTCGAACTTCACAGAAAAATGAAAAAATGCAAAAAGGGCTCTTAAAATCATTCAAAAAGAATGGAATGAATCATCAAACATACTTGGAGAACCTTTTGCAACGAGTACCAAAAATGTCTGCTGCAGTAATCAAGACTAAAAGAGGATATTTTGACAAGATCCAAATTTTATCATAAAATGCTTTTTCTTTTTGTCATAATAAAATTTCTAATAAAAATCATGTCTCACTTATTTTTAACCATGTAAAATTATTTTCTCTTATTTAAAATACAAAACAACTATTTTGGGGGGACAATTTATAAATTCCTAGGTTTTCCTAAAATTTTTGAACTGTTGTTTCTATATACATATCTAGCGTATGTGTATGTAAAAATACGCAGATTTATATATACGTGAACGTTCTATAACCTTTTCAAAATTTGACCAAATGACGAAATATCACACCTTCTTGGTAGAGACGTGAGCTTTTCAGGAACTTTTATTCAATAAACGCGACAGTTTTTGTAAAAAAATGTCCTATGAAAAGCTCATATTTTGGCATATAAAAAAAAAACAAAACAAAACAAAATAGCAAATATATTTCTTTCAGTTTCTGTCTCCCCCTGTTAGGATCGATACATTTTCAGGACACTGTAGATAGATAGATAGATAGATAGATAGATAGATAGATATTAAAACCTGGGATTGATAGCTACAAAAAAAAAAAAGAAAAAAGCCCGAAAAAGGGGAGATACACATAAAATCCTGAGATAGATAAATAGACAGAAGGATAAATAGATTTAGATAGATAGATAGATAGATAGATAGATAGATAGATAGATAGATAGATAGGCGGAGAGAGATGAAAGAGTAACAGAAAAAAGAAGAAGAAATACTGTGATAAATTTGAATCGATTGAGATAGATAGACGGATATATATATATATATATATATATATATATATATATATATATATATATATATGTGTGTGTGTGTGTGTGTGTGTGTGTGTGTGTGTATATATATATATATATATATATAGATAGATAGATAGATAGATAGATATAATAGGCGGAGAGAGATGAAAGAGTAACAGGAAATGTGATAAATTTGAATCGATTGGTATATATATATATATATATATATATATATAGATAGATAGATAGATAGATAGATAGATAGATAGATAGATAGATGCATAGATATAGAATGATAGCTTTTAAAGGGTGCAAACATAACATTTCTTGTCGCTGTGTCTGCCTCCATGGTTTCGACAAATGCAATATTCTATTTAGATGCTTCGTTTGATTCCTATTTCAATCCTTACCCCGTAACATCATATATCGAACGTCCTTGAAAAAGAAAAAAAAACTAAAAGTGCAAAAAATGGAGAAAAAATTCGATTTGAGAGACGAGAATTCAGTGATCTCATCACATCTCGACTAAAAAGTGCAGTCCATATTGATTGGCATCGCATCGGACGCGTCTAATGAAAGTCAGTGCAGCTTGGCTTTGGCAATGTTAACGGGTTTGAAAAACAGGACATGTCAGATGCAATCGGTGATCAAGGGACAGGTGGAGCCAGGTAAAGATGGTAGAGAAAAGGTCAAATAGAAGAAAATAAGAGCGAGCGAGAGAGAGAGAGATAGTTCAGAAATATATATATATATATATATATATATATATATATATATATATATATATATATATATAAAAGATTTACAGACAGAAGAAAGGCAAGAGTGAATAGTAAAATTGAATAAATAGTTGAAGTAAAGATTTTCGCAGGTTAAAAGAAAATTGGTCAGACGAACGGAATTGGGAAAAGCAAAGAAAGAAAGAAAGAAAGAAAGAAAGAAAGAAAGAAAGAAAGAAAAATTAAATATATTATTGGAGAATACAGAAAGAAAGAAAGAAAGAAAGAAAGAAAGAAAGAAAGAAAGAAAGAAAGAAAGAAAAATTAAATATATTATTGGAGAATACAGAAAGAAAGAAAGAAAGAAAGAAAGAAAGAAAAATTAAATATATTATTGGAGAAGAAAGAAAGAAAGAAAGAAAGAAAAAAATTAAATATATTATTGGAGAATAAAGAAAGAAAGAAAAGAAAAAAGAAAGAAATTATTGAAAAACCTGGAAATAAAAAAAAAAAATAAAGAAAGAAAGAAAGAAAGAAAGAAAGAAAGAAAGAAAGAAAAGAAAGAAAAAGAAAGAAAAAAAAAGGAAAAAAGAAACAATATCAGAAGAAAGAAAGAACTGGAAGGTTTAAAATCTAGAAAGAAAAACCTGGAAAGAAAAACGAAAAAGAGAAAGAAAGACCTGGAAGGAAAAACCTGGAATGAAGGAAAGAAAAGAAGAAAGAAGTGGAAGGAAAAAAAAAAGAAAACAAACTGGAAGTAAGAATAGAAAAAATGAAATACAGAAATAGGAACTGTTGGAAAAAGACATACAACTCACGAAAAGGGGATAAAATGAACAGAAGTGGAAATTAATTAAAAGAGTTCAAAAACGAACGACCATAGAGTCAAAAAAAGAATAAACAAATCAGAACGAAGCCGTACCCTAACCAATGAAAATAGTCAACGAAAGAGAGAGAAGAACAATCGACATAAATTGAGAGACATTGTAATGTATTTGATGTTTGTAAGAAATAAAGGTTTCTTTTCTTTTCTTTTTTTTTTGGGTGGGGTAGGGAAACTAAGTAATTATTGATTTTTACCTATCACTCATTACATGCGAATGATGGCATACGTACTTTAGAAATGAAGACAAAGCCACAGTGATTTTCCAAGCGTAGCTTAGATGTGGCACAATATCCGAAAAAGGCAAAAGTAATAGACAGATGATATTATGAGATTAAAAAAAAAACGAAGATTTAATCAAAAGAGTTGTTTGAAAATAAAATTCACTCGCCAAAACTTTGGAAAATTGTTCGGGCGCCATATTGTTGACAGCAAGCAGTACTTATAGATCCTTATTTGTCATTTCTGTGTTTATTGAATGCTCCGTGGCAGACAACATATCATAGAATTAACTAAGAAAATAAAAAGAAAAATCACTAATTACTGTTCAGTGACTTTAATATTTTCGGAGAATTGTCAACCAAATGAATTAAAACGAAACTGCATTGATTAAGAGCTAAAATATAAATAAAAAAACAAAGATCATGATGATATAATACAATCAAAACCAAACTAGATGAAATGTCCTGGTTTCAAAAAGCACTTAAAATCACATTTGAACTCTCAGTTAAAGATGCTCGCCAAAATAGGATATATTGGCATAAACCCTAGCATTTAACGAGCTAATAACCTTGAGAAAGTATTGAAATAATCTCTTCACCGCAACTGTGGGTATATAACAGGGCAGACTAGATCCTACTGTCTTGATTATTGATTAGTCTAGGAGAAGGAAAAAGCAGTTTCGAGTGTCTTCGAGAGGTCTGGGTTCCTTACCCAGGAAACACCGATGTTGCTTCGGTTGCAGTAAATACGGTACCACTACGACCCTATTGATACACCTCAGGATTACAAAGACTTTGTCCAAACGTAAACAACAACGAAGCTAGCAATGAGGAAGTCAAGAAAGCTATAAAAATCAAACCTAAAGGATAATGAAACATCACTTGACAGTGAGGCTGAAATTTTGAAAACAGAGAAACATCTCCCATAAATTTAAAAAAGAAAAAAAAAAAAAAAACAGGTTTCTGAGTTTTATGAAGGATGTCTGGAATCAAAAGTGTATCCCCCAAAATAGTTAATTACATAACATATTTCCGAGCTATGGGGAAAAAAAAACATGAAATCTTCAAGACACTCAAACCTACAGAGGTGACTGAACTGGATTTAGTAAGATGAACGACCTAATCGACATTGAATTAATCACGCTCTATTTGTTCTCTGAGAGTTAACTCCTCATAAGCAAATTTGGCTTTCGTTGTCGCAAGGATAGCATATTTCATGAAATATGTTCAATAGTTATAAGGAATTTAGTATAGGAACAAATGTAATTAAACATAGAAACCGTATCAGAGGTAGTTTTGCACAATACCTCAAGCTGCCACAAAACCAAATAATCAACTGCCCGGTGTCACAACATACCTATATATATATATATATATATATATGTCATTGTCATACATATATATATATATATATATATATATATATATATATATATATATATATATTGTGGAAGTAGTAATGGTTCAGCGTTAGTAATTGAATAAATGAATATGTATTAAAATTTATTTTCAAATAATTCTTTTACTACTCTTGATATATTTTGGATTTCAATAAAAAAAAGCGAAAAGTCTTTATCAGTTTTGTTATGCAATTTTCTATTTCTTCTATATGTGAATTAGGCTTCTCAACCCTAAATAACATCAAAAATAAGAAGCGAGGATGCCTACGCTCAATTAAAGAAGAAATGAAGATCGGCTTATCGCACATCCGACTAAACATTGAAGAAATCGCGAAAAACCCCCCAAAAACACCAGGCATAGGTTTCACATTAAATAAGCTGCCAAAAAGTGGATAGAAATATTTAAATAAAGTAAGTTCATAGTTGTATTTGTATGTCTACTTTTAAAAAATCTATGTTTTTATCTCATAATATTTAAATGTATACTCTTTATTTGTTTTCAAAGTGTGGCGTGATATTTTCATTTTCTCCTAGATGTGCCATTGCTTAAAAAGGTTGAGAAACACTAACCTAACAAAACTGATCAGATCTAAAGGTTCATATGAACGTCAAGTAAAGACTTTCTAGCTCAGAACTGTTAGCTTTATACATATATTTTCTCACATCAATAGTTATGAATAATTCGACCCCTCCCCATCAAAAAAGCCGACAGGTCTTAGGGAGGACTCTCGTGATTCCAGTTTTGTGAACTGGAACTACAAAACCACGAAAAAAGAACTGTCCAGCAGTAAGAACTAAAAGTAATATCATATCTAAATCGATGAGAACTTAATGGCATAATCATTATATTGACGTTCCATACTACTTAAAGAAAAAGGTTAGGAAGTAAATCGCTGTAATGATCTATAACACCTAGTGAACTTTCGAAACCTACTTTACGTGAAAATTGTTATAAACGTTATCGGATATCTGTCGATATTTCTCAGATGAAGTATTGAAACGATTTAAACTATTTACATAGTTCGGACTATTGCCCTCATCTTTATTGTCATATTCATGACGTTTCAGCTGTTGTACGCTCCGGTTTTCTTCTGGTGATATACGTAGGAATTTTCAAACCATTTATTTCGTCCAACGGGGTAGATTGTTCTAATTCCAGTGGATAAAAGTGCTGGTTGAAGTAATCCAGTAACCTAACCTAAAGTGTTGTGAGTTCAACACATGGCCATGGCAGAGGTGAACAAAGACGTGGAAACATGAGTTACTACGTCGAAATAATTTAAACTAAAGATATTCGGAAGAGGCATGACACGGGGAACTAGAACAATCTAGTGGATGAAGTAAAAGGTTCGGTTCAATTTTCTAACGTATATCTCCTGAAGAAGGCCGGAGCAAAACAACGACCGAAGCGTCGTAAATATGTCAATAAAGATGTGAACAATAGTTCGAACAATGTAAATAGTTTCAATAGGTTATTGGATTTAAGCAACAAATTCTGAAATATTCCTTTAATAAAATGTTTTCATAAAGTCCCACTGAAAGTAGCATTGGCTGCTACGTTAAAGAATGACGAACATTTCTTCATAAGGAGACAACTAATGTTATCATTGTCTTTAATACCAAATGAGATAGATAAAACGCAATGGATATATTCGCAT